TGGGATGACCAGGGGTCAGTGGGATGGTTCTGGGATCAGGTAGAATCACCATGGATCAGTGGGATGGGGTTGGGATCACCAGGGATCAGTGGGATCACCAAGGACTGCTGGGAATGGTGCTGGGATCACCAGGGATCACTGGGATGGTTCTGGGATCAGCTAGGATCACCAGGGATCAGTGGGATCACCATGGATCAGTGGGATGGGGTCAGGATCACCAAGGATCAGTGGGATGGGGTTGAGGTCACCAGGAATCAGTGGGAATGATGTTGGGATCATCAGGGATCAGTAGGATGGTGCTGGGATCAGCAGGGATCAATGGGGTGGTGCTGAGATCACTAGGGGTCAGTGAGATGGTGTTGGGATCATCAGGGATCAGTGGGGTGGGGCTGAGATCACCAAGGACTGCTTGGAATGGTGCTGGGATCACCAAGGATCAGTGAGATGGAGCCAGGATCACCAGGGATCAGTGGGATATTTCTGGGATCACCAGGGATCAGTGGGGTGGAGCTGGCATCACCAGGGGTCAGTGGGATAGACCTGGAAGCACCAGGGGTGAGTGTGATGGTGTTGGGATCACTAGGGATCTGTGGGAATAGTATTGGGATCACCAGGGATCAGTGGGATGGTGCTGGAATCCCCAAGGACTGCTGGGAATGGTGCTGGGATCACCAGGGGTCAGTGGGATAGCACTGGGATCAGTGAGATGGGTATGGGATCAGTGAGATGGGTATGGGATCACCAGGGGTCAGTGGGATCACCAAGGATCAGTGGGATGGAGCTGGGATCACCAGGGATCAGTGAGATGGGATTGGGATCACCAAGGATCAGTGGGAATGATGTTGGGATCACCAGGGATCAATGGGGGTGGGGTTGGGATCCCGCTGACTCCTGGCTCTGGGATCACCAGGGACCATTAGGATGGTGTTGGGATCCCACCAACTCCTGGGATGGTTCTGGGATCACCAGGGAACAGTGGGATGGTTCTGGGATCACCAGGGACCACTGGGATGGTTCT